TAGTCCAGTGTCCCTCGAATGTGTACATTCATGGAATGTTTGAACCATCCAGAGAATGCGACTGGGCTTTGTTGTGATGCGAGCTCGCATTTCACAGGGGTGCTCACAGTTTGTAACTTATACTTCCATTCATTTCGAGCAGAGAAGTTTCTGCCTTTTAAGAGTTCTCAGGAAGCACTCAGGCTGATGGCTTTGGCAGAGTGCTTTGCTTTGCTCTCACTCATCGCCGCTACAGTGGACAGAAGTACAGGTGTTGGCACGATCGCCACCATTAACCGCACAGCATGGTTAGGCTTGCCACCAGTTCCAACATTATGTAATAGTGTCTGTGTTGCTGCCGCATGCATTATTTGGCCACCAGCACCCTGTGATGGTGCAGTGCTCACACTGTGGATGTCACGTATCCTGGGGTAAACATTACTAGGCGATAGTGCCGTCACCTATCCATGTGTCTGCGGTGCTGAATGGCTGCTGTTAATGCAGTCTGGAGACAAGCACCGACATGAATGCTGGCAGTGAGTGTATGGTTAATCCAGGATGCAGGTGAGACCGCTGTCCTTTACAGCGTGTTTGCAGTAGTCTAATGCTTGTGCGAATTGCTCTTATAGCTGCTATGCCGCTGAACTTATGAGTACTTTGCATCACAGGAATAAATTACATTAAAAAAAATATTTAAATAGAAAACGGTTATTTTAAATGGTAATATTTCACAATATTCTTTTATTTTTGATCATTTTTGATGTTTTGGTGAGCATAAGATTTTTAAATATAATTACTATTCAAAGATATCATCTCATGTTTTTAACATTGTTCTTTCTCTTCAGCAAAGTATCCTGAAATCAAGTCTTTGATGGGTCATGACCCCCAGCTGAAGTGGGTCGTGTCAGGGATGGTACTCACCCAGCTCCTGGCGTGTTACATGGTCCATGAGGTCTCCTGGAAATGGGTGTTGTTTTGGGCATATGCGTTCGGTGGCTGCATCAACCACTCTTTGACCCTAGCCATCCATGACATTTCACACAATGTGGCCTTTGGCACCAAAAGGGCACGCTGGAACCGCTGGTTCGCCATGTTCGCCAATCTCCCGATTGGCTTGCCTTATTCAGCATCCTTCAAGAAGTACCACATCGACCACCATCGTTATCTCGGAGGAGAGGGATTGGACGTGGATATTCCTACCGACCTTGAGGGCTGGTTCTTCTGCCCCCCAGCCAGAAAGGTGCTCTGGCTCTTTCTCCAGCCTTTGTTCTATGCGCTCCGTCCATTGGTGGTGAACCCCAAGCCCGTGACCAGGTTGGAAATGCTCAATGCAGTCGTACAGTTTGTGGTAGACATTATCATCTACTATTTTTGGGGTCTCAAGCCCATAGTCTACCTCATCGCTGGCTCTATACTGTGTATGGGCCTGCATCCCATCTCTGGACACTTCATCGCTGAGCACTACATGTTTATGAAAGGCCATGAAACCTACTCTTATTACGGCCCTCTCAACTTAATAACCTTCAATGTGGGATACCATATGGAGCACCATGACTTCCCCAGCATTCCAGGCAGCAAATTACCTGAGGTACGAGATTGGCTGTATTCCTTTGTTTTTAGAAATACATGGTATTAAAATTCTGGCTGAGGCGATAAGATGATAATAATGGCAGATGTTAAAATTACACTCTTTGTTGAAAAAAAAAAAATTAGTCACTTTTACACATTATAAGTAAATTTAGGCATCACAAAGTAATGTACAGTATGAAAATGCATATTTAAGCATTCATTAATATTAATTCAATGTTTTAAAGATGAAGGTTAGATGACAGCAATGGTAATCTAAATGTAAAATTAGAGGAAATGAGCATGTAAAATGAGTCTGACCAATACAATAAAATAATACATTGGGAATAACGGCTAATAACAGATTTATTGTAAATCCCTATTGGAGTTTCTTTTCTTCTAATAAAAAGTAGTTTAAAGTTGGCAAACTCAGATATCACTGACGCCTGTCATTTTGTTCTTCAGATGAATTCTATAGTATTTTTATTTATTTTTTTCATAAGAAACTTCTTGACTTCGTTCTTAAGATTTTAGTGAATCCGGTCCCAGATTTTTAATACTTCTCAGGAAGTTTACTTTTCAGGCTAGAGCTCAAGTGGAAATGTCACGGTAATGTAATACTCTCTATTGATTTTGACACTGTTACCGATTAAGAGGAAGAATGTGACATTTAGTGCCGTGGAACTAACTAGAAAGACTAATATTTGCTCAACTCTTTTTCATACTTCATCAGTGTCCATAAGACAATTTAATTGGAGTTATAGTTTATAGACGTCACACCATCAGTGTGAAAGAACCCCAAGGCATGTCTGTAAGCGGATTACTCATGCAGTGCATTGTATCTGTTAATATTTAAACCAAAGTATAACTACTGACAGTAAACTGACCATCGCCCCACCCATGCTTTACACTTTAGCTGCATTGTACTTTGTTCTTATTCTTTGGTACGCATACTGTATTTCAAAGTGTATATAAACAGAAATCTCATTATTAACATTTGATTATTGACGGACCTTTCCCATATTGCAGGTCAAGAGGATTGCAGCAGAGTACTATGACTCACTCCCTCAACACACTTCCTGGATGCGAGTGCTCTGGGACTTCGTATTTGATGACACCATCGGCCCCTACGCCAGAATCAAGAGACAATACAAACTTGGTAAAAAGGAATGAATTGGGTGTTAGACTACTGATCTAATCAAACATACTACAAGGTATTTACACAAATCTGTGAGGCACTTGAAGGCTGTTAGTTAAAAGGGAGCAAACCCTTTCACACGTGAACCTGCATACCCTTTTCATTCCGTCACAGCATTTCATCATATAGATCCATCTGTACAATGTATGAACAATAACTGTACATTCCCTGCGCCTGGGACCGTGCTACATGATTTGTGATTTATTGTTTAGGTGTATCAAAGCCCAGCTAATTGTCTCAAAATCGTTCCATACACTCATTCCAAACTAAAACATCTGATGTTGTTTTTATGGTATCCATGTTCATTATCAATGCAGTTATTTGTGATTATTATTGCAATCGCCACTTTCTCAACTAAATCCAACTACTGAGATGCCAGTTAAGATGTACCTGAGGAACGAAGTGCTGAGATGGAATGTTTAAGTGGACTTAAAATGCCTTTTCATCAGTGAGGCCTTTTTGAAAACTGAATATTTAATTGTTTCGTGCGCTATTGTGTAACTTGAAGTCTTTCGATATTTTGACATGTTCTGTCGTTTGCACTGTGACAGTTTAACTCTGAACTCCATTGTGATAAAGCTGTTGTGGAATATATTTGTTCAGCACAATGTATTTCAATAAACCTCCTAATCTTACACGATGAATCTGAATAATGGCAGAGAGGTTTTGTAAGGGGTCGTTTGTAATGTTCAATGAAAATGAGTCATTTTTTTAAGGAAGCATGAGACAAGACTGTTTAAAAGGGGGAAAAGCTTTTAAAGTTCTTTTAATTCCATCAATCTCACACTCTCAACAGGTTTAAATTAATTGTAATTTCTGTGAAATATCAACATCAACTTTTAAAATCAGGATCAACCTAATTAAACCAGAATACATTGTATGTTCAAACAATTCACCCAATACTTTAAGCCACTTTCAATTGAGGGTATCACGTTGTGTGTGTGTGTGTGTGTGTGTGTGTGTATATATACACGTATATATTTCCATGTCCATCTCTTGAGCTCAATAAAAGAGCGTCTATATTTAACCTCATACCTCCAAATCAATTTAAAACAAAGTTCTACTGAACTTCTGCATTGGCCAAAAAAACAAAACAAAAAGAAAAAGTCTCAAACTGTTTCAACTATAGTAGTTTGCTGACAGTTTAGCACAAATGTGTGCAGTTCGTACTTATTAAAACCAAAGAATAAGAGCAGTAATATAAAATATAAAAGGCTGACAATAACTGTCGTGCAGCTTTGTATCTCTCTCATTTAATATAATACAATTCTTAACAATAATAATAATAACAATGACCAATGAAACAAGATAAACTTGGAAAACAAAAATATCTTCATTAATTTCCAACTTGTCGACTTTAAGACTTGAAAGAGCGAGAGCAGCAAGCTGCACAGTGGACTGTCTCAACGTTCATACTGGAGGAAATAGAAAATTCAGTGTGAAGGTCTATATTTCCATCTGCTCGTTCATTCACTCATCCATACACACAATCATTCATTCACTCCAATTCCTTCCGTTCCTCAGCTTTCTCTTGTCCTTCTCAATAATGCCTTGTATCTGCACAACATTTCTGCAACTGAATTATCCATACTGTTGCAGACATGCTGCGAGAACGTTTTCACGTGCGCTTTCATGTACTTTCCCGAACCTTCAGTCGTTATCAGTCGTCGTCGTTGACCTTTCTTAAGACTATGTGGAGCCAATTCTCAGAAGTTCCCTTCTAATGGCTAAACAAAAAAGAGAAAAATGTAAATATCCTCAAGAACTGAAAAGATACATCTCTTTTCTGTTATCTCCTAAAACTTACCATCAATGATTTCTTCTTTAACTTTATGCAATTCCCGCACAACCTCCTCCAAGATCTCCTTTTGATAGCAACAGATTTGATCATCGTTAGCAGGCCAGTCTATCCTCATTTTTTGCACAATACACAGCACAGTAATATGCCATTTTGAAAGAGATTCTGAACTAACCTGTTTCATTCTGTCAAAGTCAAATGACTCGGCATCGCTGGTGCTTCCGATTGGTTTTGCCCTGTACAATGTTCATCATAAATATTTAAACGCAATTTGAATGATCAAAAATGTACCTGCAAGTCATGTTTGCTGTTAAAACAACGTGTAGATATATTAAATATTAATATTGCTTTCTGATGCAATCTCAGTTTTTATAACCGGTTCATTTTCAGAGTTCAAAGAGGCCATTTTCTGTGAGTTTACACAAACATTCAATGAAAGCTTACACAAAACATAAAAACTACATTTTCTAGTTTGTCAGAAAGCGAGCAGAACCGGCTTTGTTTGCATTTAAGTCATTGCAGGCTCATGTTGCCCAGGGCTTTACTTCCTTAACATGACCATTTGTATTGGCAACCGAGCAACAAGCATTTACTCACATATGCAAACTCTAAGCTTTAAAAAACCATTCATTGCTCTGTTGCAATC